TGGTTTTCCAGTCGAGGCGAAGCTTGTGAAGCCAATCTCGACCCAGTAACACTGGACCCTTAGTCTGGACTACATGGAATGGCAATTGACATGATTGATCTAAGTATTCAACTTGCATGGTAAGGCAACCAACTGGAACGATCAGTTCACCAGTATAGGTCTTTAGTACGGTGGTTGTTTTCTCTAACTTCTTGTCGCGAAATCTTTCCAAGAACATGTCATATGGCAAAATGGACACGGCCGATCCTGTGTCTAGTTCCAGGGATAGTGGTTGATTTTCAACTTTCACGTCAACCCATATGACATCACTGTTTGATTTGTTTACATTATGAACTTCTAGGTTATTCAACAAGTGTTCATACTCATCTGGTTCGGTCTCTATGGCATTGGTCGATTTTTGGTATCTTGATCTGGGCGAGGGTCTACCGGGCCCCTGGTTTTGTTGTGCCCGGCAAGCTCTTTGAATATGACCTCTCTTTCCACACTTGTGACAGACTTCTTTCTTAAATCTACACTCAGTTGCAACATGGGTATTAGCTCCACATCGATAACACACTACAGGGGAAGGTGGGCCCCTATCTGATCTATTCGAGGGTCTGTTCAGTGTCAGTTTGTCAAGACCAAGAGGTTTTTCTTCTCTACCCTTGCTGTGGATCTCTGTAGCATCTCGAGTGGCTGTTTCCATAGCAACTGCTATGTCAACAGCTTTGGAGAATTTTAATTTCGACTCTGCAAGGAGACGTTTCTGAATTTGCTGATTACTTAATCCACACACCAATCTGTCGCGCAAGGTTTCTTCCAAGTTACTTCCAAAATTGCAATGCGTGGTTAATTTCTTTAACTCAGCTATATAACTTAAAATGCTCTCCCCTTCTTGCTGATTTCTCTTATAAAAACGAAACCGTTCGGCTATTTCTAGTGGTTTAGGATTTAAATGCTTCTGTAATGTACTTACTATTTCATCAAAGTTCTTGTCTGCAGGCTTTTCTGGCAAAAGTAAATCCTTTAATAATGAATACGTTTTGCTTCCAATCAAACTCAGCAGAGTTGGCACTTGATGATTGTCGTCGACATCGTTTGCAGCGAAAAAATGTTGTACTCGTTCGACATACGTCTCCCAGCTTTCTTGGGTTTCATCAAAAACATTAATTTTTCCAATCGTCGTCATTTCTGGACTTATAACAATCCCAAATTCGTCGCCACTGTCGTGTATTTAGATTATACTTTTAACAAAATATGAATAATACATAAGCATGGCCGATCTACATATCTAATGCGCATGTCCGTGCGTATGACCGCTGTCCGTCTATATCTATATATCTAACAGGTCAGGTCAAATTCCCTACATATATTTGTAATTCCCGTTCAAATACACCACGTATTGGGAAAAATTGGGGTTCAAATACCCCACCCCATATACGAATTGGAACTGCTACAGCATTTCGCAATTTTGGAATTTCAAAGTTTTTCTTTCCTTAAAAAACTCTCTTCAATCGTTCAAAGCCGTTTTCTTGTAGCCAACCAAGGACAAAGTTAATTCCTTTGCACTTGAAGACCTTGAACTCATCCATTAATCATTGACGCCATTTTTGATTCTGCACACGTGTTTAAAAGAAAAGTTCAAATTCACGACCCCCTTCAAATTCCCCACCTTCCACTAGGAAAAAAGGTCAAATTCCCGCCTTCTTAAAATACTAAACAAGCAAATTCCCCAGGTATGCCCGGGGGGGGGATGTCAAGGTTTCGATTTGATTCGCGCATTAGTAGTCATTTAATATATGTGCTATCAACAGTTTCTTTATGGTATTAAGTAACAGATTACAATGTTTGTACATTAGAGATTTAGAGGCACTAATAACTCAACAATAAATAGGCACTAATACAAACTCTGAGCCAGTGTACTCAGCATCCTCAAATTGGGAATAATTTGTAAATTTAAATATTTGTGTATAATTCATAATTTATCCTATTCCAATACAAAATGCAATAATATAGAACACACAATTTATCAAATAAAGGTAAAAAGGTATTAAAAACTTTATTATGTAATATTTACATTGAATATCGTGGTTGAAGTTGTAGATTTAGACTTGAAATTTCAATTTTCGAACGAGAAATGTTTCGCTTTATTATGTTAATTAATTTTTTTACTTTGTTCGCCATTCTTGCTTATTTACAAATACAAATAGTCCATTTCTTCTTTTGCTCTTTTCAAAATAGCCCAGAATTTGGTTCAAAAAAGTATTTTCATGCAAAAACCAACATTTAACTTTTGTATACACTCCTTGTGATAGCAACCATGTTGCCAAAATATTACCCTTTTAATGAATAACTTCCGGTACTTTCATTGTATTCGCATTGACCAATCAAATCATGTTCTGAGTTGGATTATCCCAGGGCTTCTGAGAGCAATAAGCGCAGAAGCCCCTGGGTACGAGGTTGCGTTAAAAATGAACTAACAGCGACAGAGTCCTTACTTCTTCGTGGCTCGCGTATCGTGGTTCCAGCCAGTCTACAACCTACCACCCTACAACTGGCACACGAAGGCCACCAAGGGATTGTTCGAACAAAACAGCTCTTGCGAGAAAAAGTCTGGTGGCCTGGGATCGACAAAGACGTTGAACACTTGATTCGTTCCTGTATTTCCGTTCAGGCCCAGTCCTCCCAGTCATGCCCACAGCCACTTACCATGACAGAACTGCCTTCACGTCCGTGGACCGTCTTGCATGCTGATTTATGTGGTCCTTTCCCTAGTGGTGAGTCGCTTCTGGTTTTAGTTGATTCATGTTCTCGATGGCCAGAAGTTTTCATTTTAAAGAGCACAACTGCAGCAGTCATCATCAATCGCATGAAATCGTGCTTCGCTGTGCATGGTCTCCCAGAAGCAATCGTTACAGACAATGGACCTCAATTTGTGGCTGAAGAGTTTGATTTGTATCTTCGAGAGCACGGCATCACACACCGTCGAGTAACACCTTATTGGCCACAAGCCAATTCCGAAGTCGAACGGTTTAACCGCACACTCGAGAAGGCCATTCGCGCTGCAAATACCGAAGGAAAAGATTGGAAAAGCGAGCTCAACACCTTCCTACTCAATTACCGAGCAACAGCTCATTGCACTACTGGCAAATCACCCACTGTTCTCTTGTTTGGTCGAGAGATACGCACCAAGCTCCCGTCGTTGAACACTAGCCGTTCGCCAGCTTCAACGTCACCTGTTGTCGACCCCGCCATTCTAGAGCGTGATCGTTGTCAGAAAGCAAAGATGAAGAAGTATGCGGATGAGAAAAGACGTGCAGCACCTTCCAACATAAAGAGGGGTGACAAAGTTCTTTTGAAGCAAGAACGAAATAATAAATTATCCACAAAATATGACCCAGACCCATATATAGTGGTAGGAACGAAAGGCACAAGTTTACTTCTAAAGAGACGAGCTGAGCCCAAGATAATGAGGAATTCGTCAGCAGTTCGCAAATTGCCGCCGGAGGGAACAGATAATCATCCACACGAAGCCAAACGGAAACCAGACCAAGTGGTTGATACAACAGCAAAGCCTAGACCCCAGCGACAGCGAAAACCTCCTGAATATCTTGGACATGAAAAGTGACATTCACGCAGTCCGGAAGAGTAAGACAGTATACGAATTGACAGTTACAAATTCTGACAATTGATATTTAGTTTTGCATGTTTATTGACGTTTGGTTAAGCATTTTCACGTAAAAGAGGGATGTAGTGTCTGTGACGTCACAGTCACGTGAGGAACACGAGGAGAGACAGAGTAGTGTTTAGAGAGAGAGTATTGTAATAAATGAGCGAGAGAATAAATCCTTAAAGTTTGATAATATAAACACTATAAGGTGGACTTACAAATCTCACAGTATTTCGGGGAAATGATTTTTCTTGATCAAATTCGGCAGGTTTCAATTCAAGGAACGCATTTATGACTGCATATTCCGTAGTTCTAATTTCCTCCAAATCCGTTGATAAATTGTTTAAGGAACGGAGGTACAGAGCTAAGAAACAAATACGCCCCAAGAGAGTATGCCTTCCAATCTTTACTTGTCATTTTCTGGTGCACGAAATAGCAGTCTAAAGATCATAGAAAACACAATTCTCGGATGCGAGCATGCAAATAAATTGCACAATGATCTTGCTCTGTTTACTTTGGCCTCTCTGTTAATAACCTCCAGGATTTTATTCATCTAAGCTTGGCAGCTCTGGTTCAGGTATCACATTTACATCAAAGTATCAAGAGTATCACTTGCAATATTATGTTGGTAGAGTAGCAATTTTAACTCTTTCAGAGCTGGAGATTTTCAATATCCCAATATCCATCCATCATCTATGGGATATACCTGATTTTAAATTCGGATACAGGAAAGCAAGACTTAAGTATCCATTGGCAAGGATTAAAAAATTCTCTCTATAGATTTCTCTCAAAAAAAAATATTGAAACTAGTATTGAACTCTGAATACATCAGCATGAGCTCCACCTTTGAATTTACTATATGAGTAAATTCTTAAACACGTCCGAATTTATCATTATGATAAATTCGCGGCACATTTTGAATTTATCATAATAATAAATTCGCGGCACCTAACACTAACCCTAACCCCAAACCCCACTCCAAACCACTAACCCTAACCTTTTTAACTTTTTAAAACTTTTTTAACCCCTTTAAAAATATAACTTTTTAAACTTTTTTTGCTTTTTATGAAAATCTCCATCATTGACCTACACTACCTTAAGATACCGGCATGCAAGCCTTACTGGTCATTTGTGCCCCTGAACATTTTACTCCTGTTATCTTTCATCTAATGTTAAGTAATGTGCTAATCATCCTTAAGCCTGGCGCACACGATGCGATTTTAGTCGGCCGATAAAAATCGTTTGACATATCGATATACATCGGTATACTCCTCACACGATTACGAAAAAAATATGCTCCCTGAACTGTAGCCGCCATGTTGCTAAATAAATACAAGCACGTGATCACAGCATGAAATCTGATTGGTTATACTTAAAATTCCACCGATAAAAATCGTATATCAAAACGTTTTGATGTTGTCCGATTAAAATCGAGCAACAAAAATCGGTTAAAAATGACACTGCACACACAACGATTTTGTTAGTTTTAGTCAAACGATTTTTATCGGCCGACTAAAATCGCATCGTGTGCGCCAGGCTTTATTTGCAGCTGAGAGCTAAACTGAACTGCAAAAGACGCAGCTCAACCTGATCGAGTCGAAGGCTTTCTAAGAGGGCCACTGACTGCCACCTTATGACTCATATCTGAACAAAGGGTACAGCTATAATGGAAGGTCAGTCAAGGTCTAATCCTCAGTAACCCAACCCACCCTGTCAACATTCCAGTGCAAAGAAATCTGGAGTACCCTGACGGACTCTTTTCATACAATTAATTGTCATCTATCTGCAGTAAGAATCAAACCACAATCTCAGATGTGAAAGGCAATTGTGCCTCTGAATCTTAGCCTGCGTAGGAGTCGCTTTACTTTAGTGAAGATTTTGAGAATATTTGAATAAATGGCGGGTTAGAGGGATGGCTACGTTGGCGTACACGTATCTGCGCAAAGAAATTGCATGGTTGCTATGAAAAAATTCCATTCACAATTATTGAGTAAATATTTGATGATATATATGATAAAGAATGTTCAGATTGCAGTCTCTTCTCTACCGCAATCAACTGTCAGAAAGCCACCATTTTTTATAATAAAAACAGACAGAATAAGAGTTATATATAAAATGGGTACATAATTGCCGAGGTAAATACTGTGCCCATTGGGCACTGATTTAATAAGATAATTATGTATGCTAAATAAAAAAATATACATATACAATCTGTAAAGAAATTTTATTAACTCAACTTATGAAGCAATCCCATAATTCTAAGATGTGACTAATGCACCTTAGTATAATTTCAGTCTTGAACAATGGCCTTTCAGCATTCTGATTGGCTCCCTCAGCATTAACTATGAGGAAATACAAAACTCTTAATATGAGGCAACAGCTGCTCTGAGCAGTAACTGTTAATTTTCAAAAAAAAATGTAAAACACATGTATTTAAAATGTAGTTTTATTTATAAATAAAACTCTTTCAAATATAGGCTTGTAATCACCTTGCCTTCGGCGACTAATAATTATAAACAAAATGTTAACGTAACATAATAATTCTAAATGCTGTGACTAATGTACAATATAACAAAATTTTAACATCCCATACATAATTATATTTCGGGAACTCCGGTCGAAATATATGAGAATACTAGCGGTATGGCATTACCAATCTGTGCTTCACATCACATTTTAACCCAAAGAAATCTCTGGCAAAAACCCCAACACCCCCCTGATCTGACCCGTCCCATAATCCTCCTGT